CCGTCTTGCTGAGGACCGTCGTGCGTGGGTTTTTGGGCGTAGGGCTTAGGGTTCAGGGTTCAGTTTACGACCCAGCCACTGTCCTCCTATCCTCCCTCCCCCGATTACAATCTTTCGCGCGAGACAGGCTTCTTTCTCGTACTGGGCAACCCTAAACTCTAAACCCTAAACCCTAAACCCTGAACCCTAAACTCTAAACCCTAATTTGCCTCTGCAACCTGGTTCTTTCCAAGGCCCAGGCCGCTTCGCACAAGGCACCTTAAGAAAGCCCTTCATGCGCGGCTTTTTCCAGGGTTTAGGGTTTAGGGTTTAGGGTTTAGGGTTTAGGGTTTAGGGTTTAGGGTTTAGGGTTTAGGGTTTAGGGTTTAGGGTTTAGGGTTTTTTGGAAGCAAGCCCGAAACTGCAAAAGGGTTCCCCGAAGCCTGAACCCCAAAGCTTAGAATGACCGGCGCAGCCTGGGGAGGAGAGGCTTCAAGTCACCCTTGCCATCTCCCTCCACGCAGCCAACGACGAGGACCCCCAAGGGGGTTTAGGGTTTAGGGTTTGGGGTTTGGGGTTTAGGGTTTAGGGTTTAGGGTTGGGCTGAGTAAGAGGGCTGAACCCCTAAACCCCGAAGCCCCGAAGCCCCGAAGCCCCGAAGCCCCTAAACCCTAAACCCTAAACCCTAAACCCTAAACCCTCAACCCTAAACCCTCAACCCTAACTCCTAAAGCGTCAAAGCCAACCGAAAAAACCTTCGGCGGCGAGCAAGTCCTGTGCCAGATGTTCTGGTTCTTACTAGGGTAGAGTTGGGGAATCAGGAAGCCGAACTGGGGTCAGCTTTGGTGTACCTTTGATGGTAGCATCCCTGGTACCAAGCTCTCCCCAAAAAGGAAACCCGACATCAAACCCCAAACCACCAGCCCCAAACCAGAAACCCTAAACCCTTAACCCGAACGGCGGAGCCCTAGACCTTCCAGCTCAATTTGCCCAAGGAGAGGTCAAAACTGCTTCCCGTGAACAAGCGCTACCCGATCGACGAGGTGACACAAAGGGTTCGGGGGGGGCCCCTGAACCCCTGAAACCCCGAAGCCCTTTTAGGGTTCGGGTTTAGGGTTGAGGGTTGCCTTATGATTTCGGTTTTTAGGGGTCACCCCTCAGTAAGTTGCTTAGCTGGGTGGGCCTGCGTGATGGCCTGCATGTTTCCGTTTTGCGGGTGAATGAGGGCCTCTCCAATCGATATTTTTAGGGGGTGTAGAAAAAGGTGGCCTTAAACCCTAACCCCTGAATCCTCCCAAACCCTAGGATGTAGGTAAAGCCTGAGACTTTAGGCTTTAAGACTTAGGGTTTTGGTTTTAGGGAATTTTAGGGTTTGGGGTTGCAGGGCTTTTTCAGATCCTGAGTTAAGCTCAGACACCCAAAACGCGAGCCCTTAGCCTGTCGTCTCAGAAGTTAAAGCCCCAGAGTGAATTAGCAGATACCATTTCCAGTTTCTGACCATGCGCCGCCCCCCCTAGGCCACCGGAAGACCCAAAATCAACCCACAAGTTTTCAATCACCATCAGTTACTAATGAATGATGAGCTTGTAGAAGATTACTTATGCCTTCTTGGTAAACATAAGGACAGACTGATCATTGAGATTCCTGTTGATGTTGCCGAACCGCAGGCAACGACAGCAGACGCCAAAAAGGCTTAATATGCTTCACGATACAGATAAGCATAATGTATCTGTAATCCTTAAGTTGTTGTAGATCATAACTACACTAAGTATGGTTTTGCCGCATACCTAAACCTTTTCCGTTTATAGATACTTTATTAGACAAGACCATTTCCCTTTTCTGGGGTTAAGGGTTTCGGGTTGGGTGTCCTATGCGGTGGGTCATACTATGGGGTTGAGTATGCTATTTTCTATGGGGTGCGCATGGTTCCAGAGCATGGTGTTCTTCACACCCTGAACCCTAAACCCTAAACCCTAAACCCTAAACCCTAAAACCTAAACCCTAAACCCTAAACCCTAAGTGTTCTTCAAGTGGGTCTTGGTATGGGTCTTCCTATGGCGTCTTGGCTCCACGGGTGGCCAAGGGGGGTGGGCATGGTTAGAAAATGGACATGGTAGTACTGCTAACTAAATGAGGATCCCCAATGAGGGTTTGGGGTTTAGGGTTTAGGCTTGAGGGTTGAGGATTTTGCCTGATCACCCTACGCCCTACACGCCTAAGCTGTACACTACTGGGAGGTGATGCAGGCAGCGGGCGAGTACTACGACGCCGCACGGCCAACAGGGGGCGGATGAGGAGGGTTTAGGGTTTTGGGTGCAGGCTGCTTTTGAAGTCTCGAGGTCATGTTTGAGGCAACCCTATACAAACAGGGGGTCCTTCCCAGTTAGCCTGTTCCTATGAACCCTAAAGCTTCGTTTAAACCCAGAAGAACCTAAAACCTACCCCCTATACCCCGAACCCCAGCGCCCGAAACACCAAAACCCGAAACCCTCTAAACCCGCAAAGCCCGCAAAACCCGCTGAACCCGCTAAACCCGCTAAACGCGCTAAACCCCCTAAACCCTAAACCGTAAACGCCCGAAAACCCAACACCCTGAAGCCCTCAAGCACGGCGCTGCTCCGCTCCGTGGAGCAGTTGGCCCTAAACTATTAGGGGTTTAGGGTTTCGGGTTTAGGGTTTGGGATTTAGGATTTAGGGTTTAGGGTTGCACAACCCTTAGAAACTCTTGGAACCCAAGGGCCCGTACTTCAAAACCCTTTCCAGGTAAACCCTACAACCCTGAAAACCTAAACCCTAAACCTTAAACCCTCAACCCCAAACCCTACACCCTGAACCCTAAACCCTAAACCCTAAACCCTAAGCCCTAAACCCTAAGCCCTGCTCCCAGCAAGGCCACGGGAAGGCGGGTGAGCTTCGAGTGGACGCTCATTGCGGGGGAGAACGCGACCCGTCTTAAGGGGTTCAGGGTTTAGGGTTTAGGGTTTAGGGTTTAGGGTTTAGGGTTAGGGGAGTTCTGTGGGCCCTCGATATGGTCCCCTAAACCCCTAAAAGTTAGGGTCTAAGGGGTTCAGGGTTTAGGGTTTAGGGTTTGGGGTTAGGGGAGTTCTGTGGGCCCTCATGGTCCCCTAAAACCCCTAAAAGTTAGGATCTAAGGGGTTGAGGGTAAGGAAACCAACCCTTAGATTAGAGGTTAGGGTTTAGGGTTAATGCTGCCAAGACACCTGTGAACTCGCACAAGTCAAATCGCCCTTTTCAGATACTGCACTTGATCATAGCTAAAAGGCCTGCAGAAGGGATATGATGCTTCATCATCAAGACTCCCCCTTTGCAGCATGCAAACTCATATCTAAGGCACACCACTCTTTCAAACACTTGGCCAGGTAGTTGTTAGGCCGTGGAGTGAGTGCTCAAAGCTCAAGGCCTTTTCTGCGTAACAACACCAACAACGGAGATCTAAAGGAGATCTACGGGGGGACGCCTAAGGACAGGACAGGAATCCCAAAGGTCCAGCGAGCTCCCCTTCTCGGAAACAATAGCAGCACTTACCGGCTGCCTACGATCAAGATGCTCTAAACGATACTGCGGTTTCAAACACTCTGCGACGCTCAAGACTACGGAAAACCAGCTTACGCAAGACGGTGTCCACATACTTATCTGTACCAAGTATAGGACCTAGAAAACCCTTTAAGACGCTACTGGCCCCAAAGGAAGGAGAACTTACCCCGTCAACCCTATCTAAACACCCAAAACCTACATCACTTAAGACTAGGAATCAGGACTTCTAGGAGTACGCCTTGTTTGAGGTCTACAGTTTCCGCTTCACTGTGTTAAGCGACGTGGTGGTGTTTTCGGCTTCGGCTCGGCTTTCGGTTGAGATTTCGGCTTAGACTTTGGTTTGGGACCTGCGGCTTTCGATTTGCTTGGAGGAGGGTTTGGTACAGGAGCTATAGGGGTTGGAGGAGCTACAAGGAACTCAGTTCTCCCCTGCCATTGCATCGTTGAGACGTTCGCCCCTTGGCGCGTGACCCTGAAGTTGTCATCAAGAATGCCACTGGTACCATCCCTGAAGATACAGAAAGACCGACGATCCCCAACCAACCTGCTTAGTGATATCGGAAGTGCTGTCCGACTTGGGTCGAAGAACTGTTGGCGCCACATCGGATGCCATCTTATCAGCAGACCAAGTTCGGGAATGTAGTGGAAGTTATCTCTGAGCCCTTCAATGGGCTGATGGCCGAGATTTCGGCGAAGCTCCCACTGAATCAATTCTTGTGTCTGCGCGATTAATATCATGTCCTGATGAGCTTGCGGGTTCAATTTCGGAGCTGGTGGGGGTTGCTTAACAGGAGGAGACTTTGGGACACCTACAGACTGTGCCTTCGCGGTTGGATGCTTTGGGGCAACAGTTCCCAACCAACCTTCAGGCGGTAGTTTCGGCTTAGGGATAGGGATAGCTACAGACTGCGATGTCACGGGCGGAGGCCTTTTTACAACGGTTCCCAACCAACCATCCGGGGGCGGTTTTGGTGCAGGAGGCTTACTCTTAGGGTCTACTTCAAGACTCCCACCCGAAACCAGAGACTCTTCCGAAAGCCCAGAACTCAACGAGGGATGGTGCCCCTGAAAGGAAGTTTGGGTACTTGACTTAGGATCTGGAGCTTTAGTTTTAGGCCCTGCCGCCTGAGACAGTTCTACTCCCCCGGTCCTAGACCCCTGTCCTATTTCAGGTTCGGGATTTGGGCTTTGAGGTTCCGACCAAATGTCTTCAAGAGAGGCTCTGCGGGATGGGGACTCATCTAACAACGGGTCGTAGGGATCATAGGGCTCAACATATAGAGCATACCACCTATGAAACAAGGCTCGTTCTTCTTCTTCTAGCGCCCTAGCGATCAAGTCCGCAGCCACAACTTCGACCTGATCCTCTGGCCCTACCAGTCCAACGTCATCCCCAAAAGCGACTACTGTCACCTCAGACCCGTCTACAGCTCCCTGCGAAGATACTTGTTCTAGAACAGACCCTACTAGTTCTCCGTTCTCAGGTGGCCCCTGAAGATCTCTAAGTCTCCTTGCCCCTTGACTCCAACACCATCGCAAACACAGTTCCAAAAGTCTTGCGATTAAGACCGTGAACCCCATTACTAGCAGAAGTGGAACCCATGACGCTTCATCTTCTTCATCTTCAGATGGCTGAGCTTGCGCTCTGGAGATGCTCAGCACCACCACGGCGCATCTTAAGACATGGGACAACTGGACGACTCCAGCCAAGTCAAGTAGCTTCTGCATCCTCTGAGACGAAAGCGACTTGGTTAATAGGTCCGCGGTCATGACCTCCCCTGGTAGGTGAAAACATTGAAGCTCCTCATTCTCTATTCTCTCGTGCAATCTTCTCGCGCGAAGTCTCAAATGACGGGTTCTCCATGAGCCCGCCGGGAGAGCGATCAAGCAAGTGCATGCAACGTTGTCCGAATAGAGAGCTGGCGCCACCTGCCCTACTAGTTCGCGTACCAGGTCACTGACACTGTCTGTCATGACCATACCTTCCATGGCCGCATATAGCTCAGCTTCTGCCGAACTCAGGCAGACGAACGTCTGCTTTGAGGAAACCCAGCCGATGACAGCGCCGGCCCATTTTAACACCACACCGGTTTGTGACTTTTCGCCCAGCGGTGCAAACGACGCGTCTGTGGCGACTTCTAGAGTCCCCTCCGTCATTTCGACCTTCACGCCCTGCGCAGGCTTCGGCCCGTACACCAGGCCCAAATCCGGCTTTCCTCGGAGATATCGCACGATGTTTTGGCACACTGCAATCGCCCTGCTAGGACGCTTGCTAGAAAGCTGAGAAGCACGGTTCACCGCCCACGCGATATCCAACCTTGTTTTCGTGGCCAACCACGTTAATTCTCCAATCAGCCCCTGCACTAAGCGAACCGACTCCATCTGGATATTCTCTTCTTGGGTCTCCTGATCCTTCTCAGCTGGATACGGCGTCGACGCAGTCCCCTCAATTTCGGGATGCCTGTTCAGCAACTCGGTGACATAGCTCACTTGTGTTAGGTAATACCTACCATTGTGCAGCCGGATATCAACACCAAGAAAGTGCAAACCGTCCTCCGCAAACTTAATGTCGCTGGTCTCCCAAAGCGTCTGAATGGCCCCTGCCACTGATTCCAATAAGCCTCTGCAAGCACTCAAGAGCATATCGTCAACATATACGCCAATGAGCCCCTTCAAAGCGTTGCTGGAATCCTGGATTTTCCAAAGAGACGGTTCGGAATCGCTCTGTGTTAGTCTGTACTCCAAACCCTCGAAGGCCCACTTCAGCTGAGAAAGACATTTGTCACGGTGTCGGCTCCATGCCGCCGGGCTTAAGTCCAAGCCGTATAGTGCTCTCTGGATAACCCATCGCTCCGACGGTGGGATTATCTTGGCCTTGACCAGTATTTTAGGCGGCATCAAGATTATGCGTTTTCCTTTTCCCTTCCGTTCGTGCAGCGGCGCATACAGGAAGGCTTTTCTTATGTCTAGGATTGCAGCGGTCCACCCACATAGAGACGCCTGTCGCAACTGGATTCTCAACGCGATGGTGTCTAGCCCAGAGGCGTATACCTCTCGACGAGCAACTGCAACTTGATCGCTCCAGGTCTTCTGCTGAAAGTTTCCGCACGCCACTATGCGCGCGCGTCTTTTTCCCACCGGTGGCTTTCTCGTGAACACCACCTTTGCAGGTAGGATTTCTATTGCTCCACTCTGCACATCTTCCTCACACAACTGGTTCACGTCGATGGGGTAGATGGCTTCATATTGAAAGCGTAACCCAGTGTATTCGTCCAACAGTGGGGGGACCCACTTTTCAAGTTCGCCCGCTGCTTGCTGCGGGTCGATAGTCCTAGCCTGCAGGAACACCTCTGGCTCACTTTCTTCTTGTGGGCCCTTCTCGCTTTCCTTCACTGCTAGTGTCCTTATCATAGCCTTGGCTAGCCTCTCGTCATCATGCCCGCTGACAGTGCCATCAAGCTTTGTCCCGGAATCGATCCACAGCAACTCCTCTTGCAGCTCTTGGATTTTGCGAGTCCAACATGTTGATGTAGCACATGCTTGGGCAGTTTGACGGCCCGGCTTCCCTCAGCGTTTCGGACGCCAACTGACACTCCCAAGAAAAGACCCGTGAGAGGAAGTAAAGGTCAGCTTGCAGCATTTCTACCAACTTCTCATCCATGGCATACTGCTGGTCATCTACAATGGTGCAGCCTAAGCCACCATCGCCTTCACTACTGTCGTCGCCGACATAGGCTACTGAAACAGCTCTGACTACTGGCTCGGATCCCTTAGGCAGCGGAGGAACCGGAAACCCAAGCTCCCGAAGTTCCTTTATCGTCGACTCTGGAAGACGAGTCCATCCTCGAGGTGTATAGGCAACCAAGACGAGACGATTCCCGGTATGAGGAAGAACCTTGTGTCTCCTTTTGGGATTGAATGACACTGGATGATTTGCTGGGGGGTACAAGATGCCCATATGCTCATCTACATCAGCTTCATCGGTTCTTAGCCCTTCAGGTAACACTCTAATTTCGCCACCTTGAAAATCTCCTAATGGAACTACCCAGTTGATGGACCCTTCCGCATTGTTGACATCTCGGTGCCATTCTGAAGGACCCCTCTGACTAACCAGGATCGCAGTATAGGTGGCATCTGGGACTTCTTGACGGAGATACACGTTCAGGGTTTTTACCATTTCTGGCTTTTGGTGCGTTACCTGGGTGACTCCATAAATACCCCCGTGAGCAAAAGCACCAAGAACCGCTAGCCTACCCTTTTCATGCGTTGTCTTATCGGCCCTCCTGTGATTTCTACACGAAGGCCACTTACTCCGAAGTACCAAATCACAAACCGCTCTCCTTGACATAGCTCCCTGTTCTCTAAGGAGTTTGGCTTCTTGTTCCACCCCATCTACGGCTTCAACATGACACACCTTGAATGAGCTTTCTTCTACTGGAAGTGCAAACAAGATCGTATGACCCGACTCCTCGTCCTCCGACTCCCCCGATCCCGAATGATTCTCATCCTCATCCACCCAGCTGACTCCAAGACTCTTTAACTTCTGCAACATTCCCAACATTTCAGGTCCTCCCCCTTGCGGCACTAGGCGGCGCAACCCTCCTTTGGCCCTGATACGTCGACGGGGGACACTTGGTGCATCAGCTGGTGGAGGCAACGGAGGCTCGGCTTCAGAAGGCACCCTACTCTCACGGCCCGTAATGAAACCTCCTAGTGGACGTGGCGCTTTAGGTCTACTACCAGCAGCCGGACTGTCCACCGGAAAGGCCTCACTAGGCTGTTCTGCTGCTTCTGGAGGTGCATTCAACGGTTCCGGCTCCCTAACCTTTTGATAAGCTAAAGTAGTTATTAGGAGTACTGGGGTTCCATCAGGGCGGGTCACTCGCACCACCCAACCCTTTGAGACATGCTCCGACGGCGCCAGGACGGTGGCCTGAACTGCTCTCGCTGTCCATGATGCCCACCTCCAGGTACGTTCCCTGACATAGATATTCGCGCCAAAGGGAAGCTGTTGCCTTTTAGGAATCACACCCAGGCCCCTCATTGCTTCATCATACATTGTTTCGACCGAGTATCTCATCGCATGAGGCCAGTCGCTAGACCTAGCACCTACAGAGTGTAGAAGGGATCGGGCTTGTCGTTTGATAAGGCCTATGAAGCGCTCCGCAAGGCCGTTGGACTGAGGGAGATCTGCTGCAGTTGTCGTGACATGCAGGTCTCTCGCCCTACACCATGATAAGAAGGTCTTGTTAACGAATTCCGCTCCGCGGTCGCTATGGACTCGGTGAAGAGGTAGTCCTAAAGTCTTTAACCTTATGAAGATACGAGCCACGGCTTCAGTGACCTGTTTCGGACTCTTTTTGTACACCGGAATTAGAAACGGAATCCTGATCGCCGGCAGAGGGTCCAGTGAGGCCTCACAAATGGCTTTCCATCTACGCTCCTCTTTCTTTACCTCGTCCACATCTGCCGGAAGTGGATCTGCCGCAGGCTCCTCTTCGCCTTCAATTTCTGCCCACTCATCTGGGTTTGGTATTGGCTCGTCCTGCTCTCCCGCTTTGCCCATATCCTCTTTGTCTCCCTCGTTTTCAGAGATAACACCTACCCCACGTCCGTCATCTTCAACTGGCTCACCATTTTTCCAGAATCTTGGGAAGGTGTATACTCCTACGACTGCATACCGCGCAATGCCCTCCTGATCTGAACCTTTAGTATAAGGACCCGTAAGATCTACGCAAAGGGAAAACATATGCGCATGCTTTCTACGACGGCAAGGATGGTGGAATGCTGCCGATTCTAGGCAGGCTCGGCAGTCACCCCGCCATGGAGCGTGCCCACGTTGGCAATGTTCTTTAAAGGACTGCTCCTTCGGTTTAAGGCGGGATACTCTAGGGAAAGGAGGATTCAGCTCGCTACAGATTCTGCGCACTACTTCAGGGTCCATTCCTTCATCTATCATGAGCCCGGACAAAAGCCGAATCCTGTCCCTTACCGCATTCACATTTTCTTCTCTGCTACTAGACCACAACTCCCACCCTCGCTGAAGAATGGATACCAATCCCGGCGCCCATTTCGAGGCCTTACTTGTGCGCTCCATCCTTTCTCTTAAGGACTCTGTGTCACTAGAGGTAGAGATCCACCGCGCGGTCGGAGGAACAACCTTGTCGGAAAGTTCTTCGGCTACCATCCACGAGGACGTTGCAAAGACCGATGGTTTTACATGGTCATGCCCTAAAGCGCCCTGGTCAAACCGTACTTTATACAGCCCTAACCCTTTGATTTCAGGCCATTCCCAAAGCGATGGCAACGCTTGTGCCTCAGGGGAAGGATCCAGCTCCGCAGGATCCCTGGGGTGCTCAAACCCAAGATACGCATTCCCTTCCTGAACCTCCTGAGTCACATGCATCAAGAAGAGCATTCTCAAGATTAGTACGGTATCTCGAATCGCCAAAGTCCTCTCCTTACCTGTCAATCCCTCTAGTCCGAACCGCTCGATTCCATGTCTCGCCCTCAAAACGCGTGGTCCCGGAGACCTAGCCCTAGACCGTGACATCGTCCTACACGGAGGACCACCCAGTATCCCTTTTACTTTGCCAGACAGGATCTCTTGAAGTACATACGAATAGAGAGACTCGTTAAACAAGTCCCTTCCCCGATTCAATTCTACCTCTAGAAAGGCCTCATCATGCTTAGCCTTCCAGGATTGTTGCCCCGAGAACAGATGTACCAGCACCCGTTGCGCTTTCTTTAGCCTACGTCGAGCCCTGCGATTCAGACCTGTTGTTTGGGCATCGTTGGTTTCAGGGTTCACCTGCAAAGGAGCGACCTGCTGAAGGATGTCGTGAGGCACCTCCGGGAAGATCTTCTTAGCGTACGCAGCCAGAACGACTGACTCTTTCTTGGCATCTCCCCTACAGGCATTTAGAGCCTCCTTCAAAGACCCTTGGATCTCAAAATCCGGACTCTCACTTAACTGCATAGCCTTGACTCTCAGTTCCCTGACTCTGATCTTGTCCTCCAATTCCAGAATCAAGTCCATCAGCAACTCTTGAGCGATCATAGGACAACCCTTGACCAAGGTAACCGGAAGCTCACCTCTCGTAGGGTGAGTCAGGCGAATCCCCTCTGTTGACCACTCTAAAACCATACCCAGACACTCAATCGCGGGTCCTAGAGGCAGTATCGGAGTGACCCTATGCGCAGTGAGCAGGGTGCCTTGCTCATTCATCCGAAGCTCAGTTTGTCCAGCAGCCAACTCCACTTTTACTACACTAGCCTGCTGAAGCTCCTTGGCAGATCCTTGACGAAGCGCGTTAGTAGCCCCGCCATCGATTAGTCCCAAGGTGTTTTCTTCCGCTTTCAGAAATCTCACAGACACGCACGGTTGCCCTTGGCTCCCCGCAGATTCCACTACCCGCAACGATGGGCTTGGATCTTCACGAGTAACCCCTAGCTCCCACGCAGTCTCTAGTTCATCGACCAGAGCTCGGGCATCTGCTACTCCTAGGACCATCCTGCCATGAACAGTCCTTACACCCAAAAGCCCTCTTAGTGGATGCTTGACAAGTGGTCCCTGAAAATCCCAACGGACTTCACATCCTAGGACCTCAACCACCTTTCCCAGAGGGATTACCGCAGGCTTCGTGTCCATGGAAAGCAAGGACCCCTTTGATGACATTCGCCCTACAGATAGACCTACCGGAAGCATAATGTCACAGGCCACTGCAGATTGATACTCTCTGACTTGCGCATATCGGTACACATGAGTCGCGCCTGAATCCAAGAAAGCTTCTGCAACTGAAATACGCTCATCTTCACCAACAACAACCTCTACACCAAACGTACAGAACCTAGGAACATCCTTTTCAAACCCTGGAAGCTTCAATTCACGGAAATCACCCATGTCGGCTCCATCCGGCTCTAGCCGATCCCTGCTCTCGCTGGCCCCATCTGGCTCTAGCCAGCTCAGGCGATTGGCCCCTTCCGGCTCTAGCCAATCTGGATGAACGGTCCCTTGCGGCTCTAACCGAACATCTGCCCTTGAGCGAGTCCATTTCGGAACCCCGCCCTCACTACTTCTAGGTGATTCCTGTAAATTCGAAGCAACCTCCCCAATTCCCCCCGGACCACAACTGACCTTCAAATCCGAAGTTGAAGCACCAAACGAAACCGGACCAAACGAAACCGGACTCCCCCCATCCTGCAAGGATGCCACTCCGGGCCCCTGAAGACATGCCAAACGAATCCCTTTCAAGACCCGACCAGCTTCTTGCTCTGCGGATGTCCCTGCAGCTGCGGAGGTGTTTCCGCTATGTGTAGATGCGTTTGTAGCAACTTCGGCGATGACAGGTCCTGGGGTTTCTACTGTAGCCGCTGCAATGTTCGGCTTGCCTCCTTTTGGAGGCCCACCC